CCGTTCTGCTTGAATAGCTGAAACCACCAAACTTCCTGAGGTTGGTCTAACTCCCTGATAAACCAAGACCTCTCCGTCTCTCTCAAACCGCACCCTTCCACGGTGACAATCCAAGTGAGCTCTATGCTTGCCTAACCAGTCCATCCCCAAAATGACATCGTAGGACTTAACTCTACAGATCACTAGATCCGCTGGCATGTTCACTTCACCAAACATTACTGGAACATTCTTAACCGTTCCTAGTGAAAACATCACTTGGCCTCCAGCCGCCTGAACTAACCCAAAGTCCTCTCCGGGTTCCTTTCGGAACTGACCCTTTCCGATCATGTCCGGATTAACAAAACAATGACTTGCTCCCGAGTCAAACAGAACATGGGTTTCAACCTCACCCATTAGCAAGGTCCCAACACATTCATTCCCTAGAATGCTAAGACTCTATACTAACACACAACAACACGCAATGCAAGTTTAGAAAATACTAAGTACCACACGTACCAGTAATCGGATGAGAAGTGCTCGGTTCCTCGGCTGCTGCTGCACTCGTCGTGTACACCCTCGGCATAATGGCCTGTCTCTTGGTCTGTGATGCAAGCGCCTCCCCTGCTCTCTTCCCTTGAGCCACGGCCTGCTCCACCACTCCTGCCTTGGGACACTCACGCTTGAAATGCCTTGGTTCTCCACAACCGTAGCAAACCCGAACCGCACCATCACTGCCGGACACACGGACCACACGCGGATCTTCCTCCGGGCAGTCTCTCACCTGATGCTCTAAACTTCCGCACCTGTGGCATCCCCTACCACTGCGCCTACACTCACCAACGTGAGCCTTGCCACACTTGCTGCACACGCTGCGTCCCCCAGACCCTTTGTTCGGTACTCCCTTCCCAAACCTCCGGTTCTGTCCACTAGACTGACCCGCCTTGGTCACGGCTGTACTAGCCCCAGCTGACATCAACGCAGCTTCTGCCTGTCCTGACTCCAACAATGCTGCCTTCTCCACAAGCTCAGCAACCGTCCTGAAGTCACGAACCACACACCCGTTCCTAAGCTCAACCCGCAGTCCACTCATAAACCTGCGAATCAGCTTCTCCTCCGTGTCAAACTCATGTGACACATACTTCCTCAGCTGATTAAACTAAGTCTCATACTGCCTCACTGTAAGCGTCCTCTGACTAAGGTACAGAAACGCCTTCTCTAACTCATTGTAAGCTTCCTGTGGGAAGTACTTACTCCTAAACATCGCTGAGAATGTTTCATAGGAACAATTCGCATTCACCAGCCTTCCCACAATGCCTTTCCACCACGTGTGTGCATCACCCTCCAAGTAGTGCACTGCAATGTCCCTTTTGTAACCCTCTGGACATCGGATAGACTCAAAGTTCCGTTCCAGCCTCATCCTCCACTCATCAACCTCAATCGGTGTAGAACCTCCAGCGAAGAACTTGGTTCCCAACCGCACCATGTGGTCCAAAACCTTGAGGTAACTCGGAACCCTCTCCACTTGGTCCGCTTCCTCCTCAACCACATCTGCTTGCACCCCCACCTGTGGTACTACTTGTGGTGCTGCTACAACCGCCGGAGCAGGAGCCACCGCAGGTAGCCTAGCTAGTACCTGTGCTAACATCCCAAGCACAGCCTCTAACCCCACCGGTGCCACATCCGCAGCAACCCCAGCTGCATTCTCAGCTATCCCAGCTGCACCCGCGGCATCCCCAGCCACGTTCTCAGCATCCGCAGCATCCCTTGCTGCTTCCACGGCTGCCACTCTAACCGCCTCAGCTGCAACCGCAGCTGCTTGTCTCTCGGCTTCCCTAGCCCTCTCAGCAACATTCCCGTTGCCTGAGTTCACAGACCCCTCAGCCTGGTTGTCCCCATTGATTCTCACGGTTCTTCTGGTATTAACCATCTGCAAGTACACAATGCCAGTTAGCCGAAGCTAACTCAAAACGTGTTTCACAACACCACACAACAACTTACCGCGAGACCTTGGCAGTGAAGAATGGATCGGACCCCCATGCACCCCAACAAACAAACAACAGCAGTCACCAGTTTCCTAGTCCTAGAAGCGTTAAAATGCTCTGATACCAACTTGTGGTAACCCAACCCGGTAAACCGTACCGCGACTGTGTCCCACTACATCCTCTAAGTCCAATTCTATACTTAGCCATATTTTTGAACTTTTTCTTTATTTTTCTAAGTCATTCTTTAACAATACACAGCGGAATATAATAACTCAAAACACTCAATTATTCATCTTTAAAAGCACTAAACAAGATTCGGGGTTCCACATGAATAAAGACACAAGGTTCGCTAATGAATACAACAATCATCTAGCAACCTAACGAATAACACCAAAGCCATAAGACCCTAACACAAGTCTTAAATTATAAAACACACAACCCCGATCCATCCATATCCATCACTGCCGCCTGGTCTCGCCCCCTTACTGCTTAGTACCTGCACACTCAAAATGAGAGGCATAAGTATTTCATAAATACTTAGTGAGTACGGTCATCCCGTAACACCTGGTCAGTACCAAAACACGCAGTAAACTTTCGGATTCAACATTCACACAATCAATTCACAATAAACACATCACTATCAAACGGCCCCTGATAATCTAGCCTAACCACCCAAGATCAATCCCTTTTTAAGACCCATGTCTACTTCAGCGAGAATCCCACATCTCCTAAGCTAGTACATGATCCGGATTACCCTGAGGTTAGCTAAACATCATATATGCCTCGGTAAACATCCTAACATCTCACAACACTTAACCGTTTATACACATAACCACACATAACATGAAAATCATCAATCAAGCATGTAGAACATTCAACCCTAGTCACCCTACGGTCTAGGACCTAACCACAGTCGCGCGCTCACCTTAGACAAGGCTAGAAACAGATTGGTAAGAAGAAATCCCGATGAAAACCGCTCCAAATCAAAGATATCCGATCTCCCTAAGAATCTCTCGGCTCACGGTACGATCCGATCCTTATCCCCTCGGCTATCTCTTGATCCGTTCACCTTTCTTCGAGCCAAACTCTGTTTTCCCTCAGAAACCCGACAAAACAAGGCTATTAGCTCGAGGTTATCCGATGAAAACTCAACACATAGGGAAATATCCAATCGCTTACCAGTTTATCTCGGCGATGGTCGGTTCTGCTCGGCGATAGCCTGATCTCTCTCGGATATCCTCGGGATAAACTGTTTTTCTTAGGGTTTTCTCTCGACTATTCTCTTTCTTTGCTTTATTGCTCTCGAATAAACACAACTCTTCCGAGAAAAGTCTCAAAAATCCCTTAAATACTCGCAAAACCCTAGGTAATCCAGACTTATCCGATGTTTTCCTGGTTCCAGTAAACTTTATCCCGGTCCGATTCGATTCTCTCGGCCATTCCCTGTACCGGCTCGACCCATCCTTCGATAAACCCCAAAATAGCCGACCAAACACTTGGCCTACGGCCCAAGTCCCTTCCCACTCGGATAAACCGCCCTTATCCGAGGTGTTTTCCATTTTTTTCATCCGGATTTCCTATTCCCTTCGGACCACTTGTCCTTCCTCGGCTAATCCCCTTTTTCCCTCGGAGGTTTCCTATTCCCCCTCGGAGACAGTCCACTGACACTCGGACTAACCTCCCAGACTCTCGGATATATCCTACTTCACTCGGATAAATCCCATTTTCCCTCGGACTGGACCCCATTTCCCTCGGATATGGTCCATCCGGCTCGGCTATCCAGCCCATGTCCGACTATTTCACCGGTCCACACCCGACCATAGTCCGAACCTCCCTTTCCCAGCCAATATCCGATCCTTGGCTCGGTCGTTCCTCGGACAACCTCCTGTCCAGTACGATCAGTCCGCATTTTCTCGGATACGGATAATACAGTATCTCTTCTTTTTTCTCTATTAAATAAAGAGAAATAATAACATTTTACTCGTCTTGTAACAATTTAGTCCAACAAACAATGCATTTACGTCTCAGTCCATTTTGTTTTTCATCGAATCCATAATCTAATTTACTGTACGAACGAACATTTGATGGAGTTTCTGTCACCTATATTTTTTTACTTGTCGAACATAATATTATGCTCTTACCAGTGAAGGCTATTTTCTATACTTTTCTCACTTTGTTTATATTATTTTGCGAACATAAGAAAAAAATTTCCGCCCAAAATTGAAATTGATTATTCTACAACTACACCAGCTAACAAGATGAACTAGATGTTTTAGCTTAAAATATTTCAAATACGATTGGTATTGTTTGCATATCGTAACTATGAAAATGTGACCGTAGGTATATTTAACAATAAATTAATTAAAACTCTTGCTATGGTCCGAAACACACCAAACCTACGGCGCAGCCGTTTTTTAAATTACTTGTTAATCTGGTGTAAGTGCATCTCTGATGGGTCGCGCACTTGAATGATTAGCAATCACAAGAATTGCGTAAAGGCTAAAAACTTAAGAACTTTTTCATTTTATCTGTATTATAGAAATAAAACCTATAAAGAATAAATGATCAATTAATAGACAGATTCATGCATTTGTCATATATATCTATAGTACTTTTTACAAATAATTTTATAAACTGGATACATATCATTTGCGACTCTTTAGAGTGACTTTTATGAACAAACTTCAGAGTTTTAAGTAACAGTAGTATATAATATATCTTTCCTTTTTCAAAAGAAAAAAGAAAAATAGATAGTAAGGAAGCCCATTAAAAGCTGTGTGGCTTTACTTAGTTTTAGTTCATTTCAAAGCCCATATTAAATACCCAAACTTCACCTTCTTATTCAAGGCAGATTATGCCTATCGTTTCGTTCCCTCCAAAATAATAATCTTTTGTTTAAAATGCTAACCAGACCAAGAAAAAAGTAATCTTGTCAAAGCGATATGTGGTGATATGTTAAAGAGTCTCCTCCCAATCTGAATTAGCATCAATTTCTGCATCAATACTACCTTTTTAAAAAATTTTTTTGACTAAAATAAATAAATTATTGCTTATTTTATAAGAGGTATCAAAAAAATTAAATTCGTCTATGTACTCACTATAGAATTTTACCCGAGAACAAACAAAACAAATGTAGAAAAAGTTTATATATATATGATTACAAAGATACTCAATAATGTCAATAGAACAATAATCGTACGTATAAGATGCATCCTCCAAATGTAGATCAACGTATAGTTGTGTTTCTCAAGAATCGAAACTATATATCCGATTCAAGAAAAGCCTTATTTAAGTAACAAAAACTCAACAAACAACCAAATTAATTAGAAACATAAATATAATATTTGAAAACCATGTTTCAATTTTAGTGATCTCCACACTTACAAGTAACAACACTTCAAGTTCATTAATTAAATCTCCTGCAGTTCCTCCTGATCTCACCGGCACGACCGGTAAGTACATCAACAGCTCCCATCTTCACCATTGCCCTAACGAACTGACGCTTGAAGAAGGCATTGTTGTTCGCATATCGAGCCACAATACCACGAGTCTGTCGGTCTGATGCGAGCCTTTGGTCAAGCTGCAACACTCCTCTTTTCTTACGGATCTGCTTGAAGAACTGGTTGTCGAACCTCAATGGGGTCGACTGGTCTAGTGCCGCTGACGCGCTGTTTGCACATGTGTTTCTTAACCTACAATACAAAAAAATGTTAAAATAATAAATTTCCTGTTGAATGTAAAACATTTTTGCTTAGCTTTTTCATGGACAAATTCGTTTTCTAACTTTATTAGAAAAAATGTTTCAAAAAAGTTAACTTCTTGGAATTAATTAACTGAAAAATATGTTTTTTTTTTGCCTTTAGATAAATTATGTCAACCATGGAAAATGTCAGGCTGTATTTATAAAGTAATAATAAGTTGGATACTATTTGAAGATTTTATAAGTTATATAAACTTACAATTACATTTATAAAATTCAACTGCTTTTAAGTTAAACCAAGGATAATAAAATTTCAAGTCTTGTCAAAGTTAGAATTTTGTTCATTCTTATGTAATTCATTTTTTTTCCTGTAAATTAGTTGGTGAATAATTGAAATAAACCGGTTTAAAATTACCTGGAAACCAAAGCAGGGTCCATGGACGGGTCAGGTCGTCCGGTTCCTTGGAAATTAGTGAAACGGTCACTGAACAGACCGCAATTTCCCACACCAACGGTGTGTGCACCCAAAAGAGCGACAGCATCGAATACGTTCATTCCTTTAGCCGTGAAGAAACTGACCGCTCCTGAGACGGAGATGGTTGGTCCCGGTAGGGCCACGTCAGCGTTGTTCGAGACCAAACCATCGCGTCTTCCCGTGGGGATGCTGTAGCTGGGACCTCCGGCTAACACCACCGAGTCACGTGTGGCTAATGTGACGATGTCAGCACATGAGACCGTGGAGGGGCATGCAGCCTCTAGCTGAGCCTTGATGCGGTCGATTAGGTCAAATTCTCTGACGCTTCCGTTTGGTCCGGCAGCTTTCTCGGACGGACGAGCGGTGGTTGAGTCAATGAGGAGAGATGCGTCGCAGCCCTACGAAAATGAACGAATAAAAATATAAAGATATGATTAGCCAGACTTAGTGATATGATATGAAATTGGTGTAATTCTATGAATATTTTCTTAAGGTATGCATTTCATATGCAAGTATGCTATTCTTTTCAACAGATTCATAAATAATTGTAATAAGTAATTTAAACTACAAATTTGACATGGGATGATTTTAAAATTCAAAATGCTATATATTAGTGTCTTACCCTAACGAAACAATCGTGGAAATGCATACGGAGCAAAGCGGCGGTGACGGTTGGGTCAGCACCAAACCGCTGGCGCACTAGATTGCGTACGATAGACTCAGCTTGAGGGCATGACTGGCTATAAAACCCGACTCGCAGTTGAGCAAATGCGATCGGGAAGATAAAGAAAAACACAAGAAGAGAAGAAAACTTCATCTTTTTTTGGATGAGTTTTTCTTCCTAGTATTGGTTTTTCTTGTGGAAAGGATTGTGAGACCTTTGAAATCAACCAGATGGTATATATATACGAGAAACTCAACCGTCAATAAATGATTAAAAAATTATGAAATTAGTACATCTCATATATATGCCGAATACATGCGAAAGTCAAAAGGTTATATATTAATATTGCGAGAATTAAGCTTAATTAGAGAAACGTTTGCAGAGGCGTGCGAGCGACTTTGTGATCATTCCTTTGCCATATTGCAAATAAATTTATTTTCATTCTTTATAGGCTGAAAAATTAGATCCAGCTAAGTCGATAGTAGTAGAATTGTAATTAATTACATGGTAGATAAGGTGGCAGATTCATCGTAATCTATTTCAATTTCATTTTTTTTTTCTTTGCCGATTTCAAGTTTATAAGAAAATGTATATATAGGTCAATAAACTGAAAGAGTTATTTAAAAATTATATGACAGCACTATACACGAGTTATGAAAACCACTGGGCTCTAACATATTTATTTTGAATATTACATATATTAATAAGACTTTATATGATTGAGAATGATTCTATATGAAATTAGGAAAAAATACGGATTTAAGTTTTAGACATTTTTTTTTGAACAAGAAGTTTTAGACATTACCGTTAATTGTATCTGTTTCGTTTAATTTTAGTCAATGGCACATGCATGTACAACAACCAAATATAATTGCATCACAACAACTTATAAGATTGAGGCAATATTTTAATTTCTCAACTCTTTCTATGAATTTTGTTCTATTGAAAATACATTTAACGAATTAAGAATTCATCAATGTATGGTCATGGATACCACATAACCATCTGTTCCATGTTTCATATGTACCCAGAGGTTGGATAACTGGTTTGTTAAACCCTCATGGCTAATGATGATAGAAAAAAGTAGGCTGAGTCAAAATTTCTTAGGACAAATTTTATATTCTTCACATAACTTATATATATATATATATAGTCTTTTAATGTTTACGATTAATTTTGGTTACAATTATTTGTTGATATATAATTTGAAAACAGTTCCTGGAAAATATTGTATTCTTGAAATATATTTTTATAATTGGAGTTTCAATAAATTTAGTGGTAACCAGCGTTTAAAACAATTGGGAACGAAATATGAAAAGATCAAAAGTAAAAGAACGAAAGGAAGAAGAGTGAAAGTTGTTACTTGACAATGAGGTGTGGGAATTCATTTGATCTTTTAAAATTAAACAAAGCATCTTGCGGCTATTATAATGAATTATTGATGCTTACATTTTATAAAACTAATTCAAAGTCGGTTTCGTGGCGAGTTGTGTAAAGAAGTTGTCATGGCACAAATGATTTGCTTCTAATAATGTGACATTCTCTTCCTTTATAATATTTTTTCATTGCTTATATAAAAATGTCTAGTACTTACTATTTAAGTTTATATGCATTATTTTGGATTTTACGAATAAAATTTAAGTTTTTTTAAAAAAAAATTCTAATCATTTTGACTGTTCTTTAATTTAAAATCACTCAAACATGTGAGTTTTGAAGTTTTATTTGATGTCTTTATCATTTCGTGTTAGAGCATTTATTAATAAGAAAATTTGGATTAAGTCTTGAATGTTTCTTATTTACACGATTATGAATAAAATCTAGATTTGTTTTGTTTAATGATTACAAGCAAACATTTCATTTTACTTCCAGAGGAATTTTGTAAAAATCTTCTCAAAATTTTGCGACAACCAATCCATGGTTTAACATTTTGAAAACTAATCTTTACAAAATTACAAAATCTGAATAAATCGAAGGCTAGGTGTAAACATTGAATAAATAAACTCTGACGCTAAAATAATTTTACATTGAATCCTTGATAACAGCTTGAGTTGGAAAAAATACTTTGATGTTGACTATATATCTTTGTTTTTTCATCGAAAATTAATAGTAATTGAAAACTGAAAATAAAGTATAAGAAATAAAAATAAAAACTGATATGAATCAGTAATTAGAAGATGTCACCAAATCATAAAATATATTATTATTGAATTATATCAGTTATGATCCATGGTTTTTTTATGATCCATTGTTTAAAACTTTTACATTATTAGGATGATGTGATGTTAAAAATTCTAAGTAAGATGAAATGAAATGAAAATTATAATAAAGTCGAGTTCACTTAGCAATAGTTTAAATTGTAGTCCATAAAATCGACACATAACAATTTTAAAAATCTTGGAATTTTTTTCGCATTTGAAGAAACTTATTTTTGTCAAAGTTAAACTCCGTATCGAAGATTATTGATGAGCTGAATAGAAGAGGGACTGGTTTTGTTGAGAAAGTTATTGTTCTCGTTTTTTGAATTATACACAATTACACACACTGGTTGGTCTCGGTTTGGGTAAACCAAAAGGCCCAAAGGCCGAGTTTATCTCCGTAGGATCAAAGCTTATTTAGGCTTTTTAATATTTTTGACTAAACTTGTTCACCTAAATGGAAAAAAAAGAACAGTCTTTATTCAAAAATACGACTGAGTTCCTTAATTTGAAAAATAAATATCTCCATTTAGAGCATTTATCTTCGTGTAAATACATTTATGGGACATTTATTATCAGTTCAGACTTTTTGCAATCTTGAATGAACTAAAATGTGATTTCCAATTATGATCGACGTCATTTCTTTCAGTATATAATAACTAGTAGTATTTTCGTTATTACTAATTATGAAGACTATGTTAATGTAATAACGAGTCAAAAGAAAAGAAAATAAAAATTCATGGAACGAATTTATGGTTTTTTTTTTTTTGGATGAACAATATTAATTAGTTTTAAAATAAACAAAAAAAGATTTAATTTCATGTACACGACGGCGAGGAAAAAACAAATACAAATGAATCAAGCGATGAAGTGGGAAATGAAACTTGCGTTGTAAGGAAAATAATACGAGGAAAACAAAATCCTGAAGAAAGCTTGAGAGAGAGGAGTTAATCAGTTCCAACTCGAAGTTAGAGAGATGTTGAATAACTGCTCATAACAACAAACAACGGCCTTGCGTCGGTCTCACGTGAAGATTTCAAGAAACAAGATCAAGATCTCACTCTCTCTATATAAATCTTCATTCCACTTTCTCTTTCTCTCATCTCTCTCTTCGTCTGTTTCCTTCTCTGTCATCGCTTTTTACTCTCTCGCTTCTTCTTCTTCTTCCTCGTCTCTCTCGTCTCTTTGACCTTCTGCCACCGTTTCCGCCGCGAGAAAACCGTGACCCACCTTCGTCTCTCTCAATGGTACTTACTTAACTTCTTCTTCTTCTTAAATCGACTTCAAATTCGCGGCATTATCGTCGTTTCTTCACATTCTTCAGCCACAATTCACCACCGATTCTCTCTCTCAGAGATTACTGATTCTTCTCCCTCTTACTTTCGCTTTTCGCAGGAAATCGAACAAACCGTAACACCTTCCGCCACACAACCTACCGCCGTACAATCTTCCGCCGTACAATCTTCCGTCTTACAACAACAGCCACCACAACAGCCACAGCCACAAACACTGACCGGAAGATTCTGCAGATGCCTCTTCACGGCTATTTTCTACTTGCAACTGATCCTAATCTCGCTCTTCGTCGTCTTTCTCACGCTTCGAGGTCTAGTCTTCACAGAATCACCAAACTTCCACCCCAAGAAATGGTACACACCTTTGCTATCCTCTGTTGCTCTCTCTGGAGTTCTCTCTTTAGCCTGGCAATGCTTCTTCGTCTGCAACAAAGTAGCAACGGTCAAAGCAACGTTCTTCCTCACGCCGCTGCTCACATTCTCCGTCGGGATGTTCCTAATAGCGTACGGCGCAGCGGTTGTTCCAGGGATCGGTTTACTTATTCTGATCTTTAGCTTTGCTCAGGCATTATACGCCTGGTTCCACGTCCTTGGAAGCAGGAGTGAGTTCGCCTTCAAGATTATGGCAATCGCCACAGGCATAATACCCGCAAGAACCAGAGCAATAGCCGTCGTATCAGCGATCTTAAGCGTCTTTTACTCTGGATTCATGGTGGCTGGAATCGGAGGAGCCACTGCTACAAGAACAGGTCTAGACATTCTTTTCATCTCCATAGTCGTGATAAGCCTGGCCTGGACGATGCAAGTTCTCAAGAACGTACAAGTAGTAGCGATCTCGAAAGCCACATACGTCTACTTTAAGCATGTTGAGTTCATGAATGCCTGTGATGCTCTGCGCGCCGCTATGAGAAACAAGCTCGGGAGCGTTTGTATCGGTTCAACGCTGGTTCCGGTCTTTGTATTCATCAGGGGAACGATCCGAACCATTAATATGGCGGACGGCGGCAGCGACCGGACCATGTACGCAAGTAATGAAGACTGCTCTTGGATTGCTAACCATATGATTTTATACGGAAACAGATATGGATTTGTTCATGTGGGAGTTCACAACAAAAGCTTTGTGCAAGCGTCGAGTGATACCTGGAAGGCGTTCAGAGCAACGGTTGGATTGGAAGAACTGATTGATTCTGACCTCACGAGCTCCATCTGCTACCTCAGCGCCATTGCGATTGGGGCAATCTCTGCATTAACTGCAGGAATATGGGCGTTTCTGACCCATAAGGATTACTTCTTTCAGCTGACTCTCTATGCTTTCATCATCGGATACTTCGTGGTAAGATTTCATTATCAAAACGCAGGGGAAAAGAATCGAAATGGCTCTACTACTATGTTAGCTCATGCGTACCTGGTTTGTCTTTGGTGTGTTTCAGGGGAGAGTTGCTTCGGCGTGGCTGCAAGGATGTGTACTGGGTTACTATGTAGCTTACTCTGAGGATCCACAGAGCGATAACTTTGATGACACGATTCGACAACGTATTCAGCGGCAAGATATAGAAGAGGCACAGAGGGAAGACTCGTATAGGGTGCCAGAGGAGGAGGAAGAAGTGGCGAATCTAAACACGTAGAGCTCAATATGCGGATGAACATAATCCACTAAGTACAGAGATATTACTTTGGTTTTTCTTTTTTTCTCGATTTCACTGAGGCTTTTTTCAAGCTTATAGACTCTATAGATTGGAGATTGTATAGCTTCATATGCAAAACGCAGCTAGAGAAGGAATGTACATACAAAGAGAGACGACGATTGATTCAGTTCTCAACCTTTCCCTCTGCTTTACTTTCTTTATCTCGGATCCATTGTCTTTATCTGAATGCATAAACAGTAACAAGAGCAGTAGAAGAGATAGAGAATTTATAGTCACAGCCTCTTAGGGAAATCATTTTTTTTATTTAACAACAGAAGATGAATCAAGTCTGTTACAACATTGTAAAATTTTCAGCTTAGAGATTATACCAGAATAGGGACACAAGAGCTATATATGGAACTTACAAAAAGTAGGATTCTGCAATAACATCAGAGAAATGCACATCATATAAAAGTGGCGAATAGGTAAACTGAGGGCAAAACCATGACTAGACCAAGAGAATCTCGGAGTCATCAGTGTCCTAAGTGACCACGCCCGCCGCAACTTTTGCACATAATGTTACCACTTCCACCACAGCCTACAGCAGAAGCAGTACATGGTTAAGATGAAGATAAAGCAACTTGCATAGAACATGACTAATATAACTTGAGCAAGAGAAAAAAAGAAAAGCAGGATTAGAGCATATACCTAAGCAACGGACTTTAACAATGATGCCTTGGCTCTCCATTATGGAGTCTACATATAGACCAGTTCCAGAGCAAGTGGCACAAAGCAATGCACCTTTAGCTTCACAACAAGTGCAACGCCTATGATCACCAATCTCTTTCTCTGACATGGATAATCCAACTGGCTCCTCGATTATTTCTTCTGGTATTGGCTTATCATAACAGAACATTGACTCCAGACTGCTTCTTTGTCTGTGCACATCTCTTTTTAAACATGACTCAGCCTACGGAATCAAACAAGTTTCCACAAGTTAGCAAAACAATGTTTTATCACTCTCATAAGAAACAGGATTCTCTTTCTTTACTTTCTCAATCACACTGATGTGTAAATGTTTCCTGAAAAATCAAACACTGAAAATTTTATTCGACTTCTGCATCATCATATCTAACCAAGCAACACTAAAACATTTTCCAGGACTTGAAATCATAAAATTAACATATAAAGCATAATTACAAATCTGTGAACAAGCACATTGAAATGGTTCCAATTTACAAAGGATATCAGCTCAACATTTCAAAAACGTTTCTTTTCAGCTACAGCAAAGCAACACTATTACTCATACTTACTAATTGGAATCGTAATCATCATCAAACAAGTCATGACAAGTAACATTAGTATGATTGAAATTTCCAAGGGGAACGAGCTCAATTTTCAAACTTGCTTCATTTCAGATGCAGAAAATGCGAATAACAACTCAAAACGCAGGACAACACTGATAACGTAAGTAATTTCGTTATCCTATTTGAGTTTCCGCACGTATTAAACAAAAATATCCGTCGGAAAAGGAAGCAGAGGGAAAGCGAGAAGAAGATTAACCTTGAGAGAAGAAGAAGGAGGAAGAGAGCACACTCTTGCGCGGGAACCGAATCCAGAAAAAGGAATCCCGCGTCGGATTTCGCCAACGAAACTCGGTTTCGCCGGAAAGGTAGCCGGAAAAGCAAAATCTACAGCAGAATTCATTGTCGACTATGCGGGTATTATAGTGTAGAGACGAGACTGATATCGGAAGATCGAAAATTCTGAATCGAATAAAGACGCAGAAGGTGGGTGATAGCTTTGGAGGGATCGCCGTTCATAGGGTCTAGTTGTACGTGATAACCGGATTGGACTGGACCATGAAGAGATTTATGATATTCGGTTATTTAGACTCGACCCCATATCGTACCGGATATCATACCGGAATGATTTAATAGCATGGTATCCCAAATTTTCAGCCGTTGGCTGTTTGAGTGAGTGTTCTATCTAAGAGCATGCCCATCGGCGTTTCTAAAAGAATTATTAAGGAGGTTGTTAAATTAAAAATATTATTAAAAATGATTTATGTGTGTTATCAGTTAGAGACGTTCCTTATTTAAGTGATTTCAGAACCCTTAAGAGATTCATATGTATCGATATTTGATTGTACGATTTATTAAAAAAAAAAAAAAAATTAAAGAGCAAAAGGAACGACGAGGCCATGATGGAGAGTGGATTCTCTCTTTTCCGATCTTCTATTATCTCTTTTCCAATCCACAATTCCGATGAAAGCTCAAAATCCGAACAAGAAAACCGCATAATCCCGATTCTGATCATCATCATCTCACGTCGTTCTCCTTCTTCAAGCCATCTGAAATCGACGCCGTGATGGAGACAGTCGGAATCTTCAGGCGATTCAAAAAGCTCCATCCGTCTGATTGATATGTTGCATGTTTATGGATTGCTGCTGAAACTCTCTCTCTATTTCTTTTAGACTTCTCCGTTAGGTAATTGTTATGGTTTTGTTTCTCTTTGATATTTGATTTTGAACAATGTGGTATTTGTCCTGCGCTGTGTAGTAATTGTTTTAGTCTGTGCCTTTGTTTATTTGCAATCTATTCTTAATTTGTTGAGTTTTCGTTGAATTTTTGTTGTGGCTCACATGAACTCTTTAGTGTGGTATGGAAGTGGTAGTGTTTACTTTGTTTTTGAGGATGCAATTTCTTAAAAAGATGTAGAAGGAATGGATTTCAGTTGCGTTTTCTGTCAGTTTTTGCAGAATGAGATAGGGATGGTACTTTGTCTTTGCTGATCATGATATTTGAACTGTTTTTGTGTTTGGTTTATCTGCTAGGGTCTTTTTACATGTTGATTTGAATGATCTTTGCCAGCTTTGATTAAGTAAACATATGTTATTCTTTAGCTGGAGTCTTTGCTACATTCAGAGTCAAAATATTGTACCTGAAAAACCAATTCAATCTTTGTGAAGGGAGAGCCTGAAATAGACACTCAGAAAGTTGAACCATAGAGCAGCAAGCTGGCTGATCTCGACCCTAAAACTCGCAGTACCGCTGAGAAGATTCGTTCAATATGCTAACAGGTACAATAATCATATGGGAGCCATTCTTAAGTCTCAACCCCGTTTCATACAAAGTTGTGTTACATACTTGATTATTCTCTTTTTTTTTTGGTACAAAGAGATCGATCACACAAGATTGGTTGAATATCAAGGTTTAAGCGATGGCTGGTGGAGCTCTAGCTGCCGATGAAGGAGCTCTAAAGGTTTAAATCACTGGTTACTTCATCTTCACTTGCATCGTTGTATCATTTTTTGATTAAACATTGCTCATTTTTTTGTTTTTCTTCTTTCTTAAAACGTAGGTGGTGTTACATCGATGGACGGTTTCTTGATAGAATTCTTTCCGAAAATCTACAAGAGAAAACAAATGCATCTGAACGAAACAGACTACTGCAAATACGACAATCAAATATCTTGAGGTAATGTTGATCATCTGTTTTTCTTCTTCTAAACTTATTTGATATGCGACATCTTGTTCTTCTTTGCGATTTGTTCTTCAAGAATCCATTGCTTTTTCTCATGATCTTCCCTCCCAACTGTGTTGATTCTTCATCTATGTATTTTTTAATTCATGATTCACAATTGACATGAAATCATCTTGGAATTTACAGTAAAGTAATTTTATAATTTAAATTTTGTTTTTAAAAAACCCATTAAGAGGTTCTACCAATGGAAGAGCAAAAAATTTAAATCAAGTACAAGAGTTCTTAAAAGAAAAAAAAAAACAAAATTTATATTAAAAAATGTTTAACAATCCCATATGAGTCTTTACCAATGGAGATGGTCTAACGCGACAGTGACAGCCATTGTATAAAGTCAATAAATTTGAATTGGACGATGTATACAAATACAATACAACAAGTCTAATCACTCTACAACTATACACTAAGAGATAATTAAGCGAAACATCTAAAACTAAAAGCAAAACTTAAAAAATGAATGCTGTGATTAAAATTTAAGTTTTAGAGGTTTGAGTTTAGGATTTACTATGATTTATGGCTGGCTTGATCCAATCTAAAGCAAACCAAAGTGGTTTCTTACTAGGAAGAAAACCAACAAAAACTACACGTAATCTTAACAGGTAAACATTTCTCACTAATCACTATCTTATACACTTGAACAAAAATACACACAAATTTGACTCCTCTGAAAATACCCAAACTTTTCCTTATAAAAAACAGTTAATGGTCTATTTTCGGATTCAATTGTTTAAGTTCAAAAAGTCAGTTCAATGTGACAATGCGTTTGAACCGTAGACTCGTTATACACAGTTCGCTCCTTATACCAAACTCAACTATATATGTAAACTCAACAATGCGTTTAAACGTAGACCAATACAAATATGGCATCATAATCAAGAGTAATCGAAGATTTCATATGAAAAGCTGAAAATGGTATATCAGATCTCTCCGTCGAAGGGGACGTACGTGTTGATTCTTGTGTTAGTGGATCGCTTCGACTCGCTTATTAGCTCTCAAGCATTGAATGAATTAAATCACAAAATAGAAGAAGAAAAATGTAAAAATAAAGTAAAGCAAAAAAGAAACGCGTTTGAAGACCGCGTTGCTCTCAAGACTTGATGATACTTTTACTGTTCACGTTCCATACTGATAAGTCCCCTTCACTTTGACATATTTATTATCTTCGATTTTTAATTGTCAATAAATATCTTATCCTAAAATCCCCAATCCCTTCACTGGCTTGCTCGTTTTAGTCTCTCGTTTTGTAAAGTAAGAAGTCCACTTCATCTTACAACTAGTATATTTGTGTGAGATTACTAGTAATTCCTTTATTAACTTTATCTAAGCATACTTGCAATTCCTTTCTATTATCAAATACTCATATATATTTCTGTCTTTTCAGGCAATTTTTATCTTTATGATTGTCGCTGACTCACCTTCTATGGAAATTTTACACAATTCCTTTATTTGTAATGTATTTATTATTTATCTGTTAATTTTTTACACATGCACCAGTTTGCCATCCTACTAAAAACCATTATTGTATGAATTTCTTCTTAATACATTTCCAAGTTATCCTTACGTGTTTGGAAGCAGCAAAATAGACGCGGTTATAAGCTCGATTACCAAAAAAATATTGTTTAAAAATATCAAGAAGCAGTTCACAGTTAATG